CGGAGGTCTGTCTGCATATTCATCACTATCGAAACAAACTTCAGTGGTTTAAATATTAGATAAAGCAAAAGTGCACGTGATCCGAGCGTTTTAGTCTAACTGGAATAATTGCTGAAATCGCATAGGTTTTGACAAAGTACATTTTGGAAATCTGGGCCAGAAGTGCATTTAGTACGGCAATTGTAACTGTGCATGCGAACTTTTAGACTGGTTGATATCCCCATGTGCGGATGCTTGACTTTGTTTATTATTTACTCCGCTCCTTGTGGGACAGCAATCTATGTATGCCTTAGAGTGTAGGTCTGAGACGTCGAATAAATAGTCAAATTGCCAGTTCAAGCTTAGACTCCTTCAGATAAACAAATTAAGCTAATGTCTTCTAAAACAGCTCTTCATTTTTCCCTTTCTCCTTATGCCCTGTTCTAAATTCCCATTTATTTTGATTTACTTAAACAAATGGGCGTGGCTGATATTAAAATTAGCACACATCTATGTTGGAAGTGCCTTCTCTGATAATTTTGCGGACATGCTCGAACTGCTTGGCTTAGGAGCTCGAACTAGATCTCTGCAGACAGTCACTGCCTACAGCCAAAAACGCATTTACTTAGAGGACCTAAAAATATTTTCTTCGATTCTGCTGCCATAAATGATCCATCGCAGAAGGAATCAGCAACGTTTTCCATGCCATACTCTTTGTGATATAACATATGGCTGAAAGTTGCCACATCCGCCATGTTACACCACTAGAACATAGAGGAAAGCAGTTGAACTTTTCGTACACCAGATATCAAACGTTTACTGTCCCTACGAAGCGCCCAAAGCTACATTTATACACGGAGAAACTTCCTGGGCCCCAAATACGATTGAAAATAAACTCATTCATGAAAACATGCTTGATCTCAAGTGCATGTGGAAAGAAACACAAGGCTAGATTTACAATATTCCACAAAATATACTATTCACAAATACATGAAATTTTAGAAGTCTTCGATGGAAAAATAAAGGAGGGGCGGTAAAATGGGAGGGCAATAAAATCTTATGAGAGATATAGAAATTATAGCAAAATTTGTCGATTTATTAGAACTGGTGATACATACAAACTACAAACCTATAACCCAAAGATATTTTTATGATTCATAGAGAGATTTACTTCATCATGGTTCAACTAAATCACTAGTTACTGCTGCTTAAATAAAATTTCGAGTCTGGTTACACTCCAAAATGCTAAGAACTAAGTAGGATAACTTAACAAGTAAACACCAAGAACCAATAAGCATTTTAATGAGATATTTGTATGATATTGCGTTTTCGACTTACATCAGATAGAATTACGTCGTTGTATTTCCATAATTTCTGCTAGTTATTTAACTATGCAGGGTATCTTAAAAAACTTCATTTGAATGAAGGCCAACTTTGGCGGCAGGTTGAGGAGTTTAAAAGACCGTGAACGAGCATTAATTCTTCCCCCCTCCGAAAAACACGCCCACAAAAGCTGTCGGTCGCGCAAGTGCCATGAGATTCAGAGGAGTTTAAGGCAGCGGAGTTGGGTTAATGTTGTATCATTCTGCAGTCCTTAGTTGCAGAGGCTTAAACATGGTTTAAAGGTCTTTGGTTTGCTGGTATCAAACTCATTGGAGGGCAAATAATGAAAGAAACCCTCCTAAGCATTTTCAGCCGAACTTTTTATCTTTGAATAAAAAGGCCAGAATGTTATAAGCCTATCGAATTTTTGTTGAATAACCCCAGAAACTGCACAGTTTGCAGCATGAAGAACCAACTACCGATAGAGCGAATATCTCAGACATAAACATTGGATATGATTTACCCTTTACTTCCCCTTTCAGCTTTTCTACCTCGTAGCCAAGCACTACGCTTGGGTTGTTACAACGAATAAATCCTTGGCAACCAGTGATCGACGCTTTCTGATAGAAATATTTTCAACCTTTCTTCACGAGAAATCAGTGAGTCTACTTTATCTACACTTCTGCCGAAACTGCATGCATTTATGATACTATCAACGTTTTTAGTAAGGCTATAAATACATTACGCCCTTCAAGCATCATTAACTCTTGTCGCTCTACTTACTGAGTTATCAGATCAGAAAGGTTTACGCAAACTTTGTAGCCTTCCAGGCGATTAAGCACTACGAAACTAGTTTTATAACCATCGACACAAATGCTTTCAGAGGGGGAGACTTCACATTGTGTCGCTCTGATAGAGACATGTGTGGCGACAAAACTAGCAACTAACGGACAGAAAATTCACAGTTTTTGACACTTTTATCAGTTTTTTATTTATTTAACTTGCTTTAACTGGGAGTTAATTATTTAATCTGTTATACCTCTACTCTTGCGGCACACTTTGGTAATCGATAAAAGCTTAGTTAAAAAGCTGCTACATTCCTATTCACTCTGCTGAACTAACCAGTCCCTAAAGTATGGCAAATTCTGTGGAGAAATCAGAATATTTCTTATAGACATTCTTAACAAGATAAGAAGCAGTTCATAAATATTCAGTATAACAAGACGAATAGACGCTGCTTTATTAAATATTTGGCTCAGCAACGACTAAAATCTATTATTTTTTCAACATTTCAGCCTCTTCCTGTGAAAGTTGATCCGCTTATCATCCAACAGATGGAAGAGACGATGTTATTAAATTCCCCTGCTGCTGTTTTTAATGGGTGTTGTGAAGATGTTTTGCCACAAATCCAGTCACAATTGGAAAAACTTAACAAGGACATACGATATGGTAAGTTGAATTCGTGTGGGATCGAGTAATTGTGCATAGTATAATTTAGTCTTAAACATGAGATTGCATTGACGAAATTATTTTCCTTGTTGCAGTTCTCTCCTCATGCTTTGCCACATTAAGTGATACAGATGGAAGGCTTGTGATTCACAAGAATGCTCATGTCACTATATGATACCCAAACGTCCCCGTACCCGCAGCAAAAGCAATATCATGGGCCTCTTTGCTACTCGTACTTCACCTGGTATGTGGCGTCGCTCTTTGCCCATTAGCCCTCTATCTTTGTGATACGCTCGATGTTCACACGACTACGGGCTTAATCTTCGACCACCTGTTTGTATACTGTAATCCAGGGTATCTAGGGCACAAGCCACAAACGTCCGGTCAGAAA